TTATATTTTCCCCGATTTCCCTCCTTGAAAACCTGTCTTCCACAGAATCACTAGAACTGGCACGATGCTTTCCGTCGACAATGGTATCACAATTTGAATTTATCGAAGCTCGTTCTTTTCTCTAGACTGTGGATTGAACACTTGCAATTTGCTTTGATTTCACTTTATTTTACTGTTAAACTCTTTACGAGGAATAACAGTTATTTATTATCATCATACTAATCCATTTACTTATCCATTTATTTACAATTACTGTTAATGAACATACCAATTTAGGTGCATTAAAATTGCTTACTTCAATTCTGTAAAAAATGATCCCTGAATACATCGAGTAAGTTACAAAGGTAACTACATCTTCAACATCACATGTTCCCTTTCGAAATCGTTGCCATCTCAATTCCTTCATCTTCCCGAATCTTCAATTCCCACCGAACATTAACCATCTTCGCGAGCCAATTATAAAACCCGAACGACGAGAGTAATCATGCGCGACATCGCGGGTTATTGTTATTTTAACGAGCGCAGTCTTGAAACCACGTAGCCGCGGCGGCCTGTAATCCGCAACAGTTTGAAAAAAGGTGTGCGGCGGTCCTGCACCGCAGGTGATAATGTAACGGCACGGTAGGACGTGCCTACACGTTATATAGGAATTGGTGCATGGCAAACAGGGCAAAATAATCGGACGTCGAGAGTTATGGGGCGCGAACCGGCGGCCGGTTAATCAGCCACCGATAATTATCGACACGGGCAGTACATCACTCCCCTCTCGGCCTCTCCGCCACCCCAGTGCCCTTCTACCCTCTAGCGGACCCTCTCTTCGTTCTGCACGGGATTCACCACCCCCGTACGACCTCGAACGCGCGGCTGGCGAACCCCTTGTAACCTCCTCCTCCGCCTCCTCCGCCTCCTCTGCCTGCCGGCAGACCGACATCCCACCGCCTGCCGTGACAAACGCACCGCCGATACCATCATTTATTTCGCAAATGTGCTGCAAAACTGCCGCTATTCATTTTCGGTCCAGTCGATTCAGTTTTCCGCTCCGAGAGTCCGGCCTGATGGCATTCCACGCACTCGCGCGATCGTTTTATCGCTTCACGCCGGTACTGCCGCAACCGCCGCAGCCGCTACGATCGCGGCCACCGCTGCACCGCTTCGCCCACACCACGCGTCCGATAATGCGATTTCTCCGCGGCAGTTTTTAACCGGCGCGACGTAACGCGGCGCGCGTCCCGACTCCGCCGGCCTTCAAAAGCCTTTCCGCGTTTATCATTTAACGCGCTTCGATAGATCGCGCATTTCGCTGATGAGTACTTTTTGCGGCACCCGTCATTCCGTTACCGTCGAACCCAATCGCTTTTTGGGGCCGGTTTTTATGACGGAGTTTTATGAGATTGTAGCGTCGTTTTTCTTGTTCGGAACTTCTCCGAATCGTACGAAACGTCGCGTCATGTACGGATGTTTTCCTTTCAAGCACTTGCAGGGAAGTACACTGAAATGATATTTATGGATTTTCATGAAACTTTGATCCTTTTATTGGTAATCATTCATGCCGGGGAAATGAAAATGGCCTTCGATGTGGAGGGTGAGAAACGTATTTGATCGAACGTCTTGAATATCTACTGGTATACCTTCACTAGAGATAGGAGAATATTATTTATACTATTATTGTTCATTTTTTAGACAAGTTGTTCATTCAAATTCCAGAAAACTCTGTGCATTGTGGTTTAAGTAATTGAGTAATGAAATAAATTGTCCTTACCTTTTTCGTTCAAGTTTTAACCGAATTTTCTGCAGATTACGTGTGAGTAGTAGAGTATATTGTACAAAATACACAATGTGGATAAATTTTAATTTTATTCCGCGTGTACAAGAAATTGTATTATTGACATCTTGCATTTTGTATAATACGAAGTTCTTGAATGCGTACAGTCACACAAATGATACACTCCAATTCTATTCTACAATACTTAAGTAGGAATTATGTTTTTCATGTATTACGTAAGTAAATCTCAAACCCTTTTTAAGGATTGTTCTTAGCTTTGCAACGTCAATAATTTTCAATAAAAAAAATATTTATCAAATTTGTTAAAATTTCATTCTATCACAGATTTATAAAGATCATGGAAAATTACTTCTATAATTATGTTTCCTTTCTAATTTTACGAAGGTTATTCCTTTTTCGCTTGACTTCCACAAAATTGGCACAGACGAATAAATTTTTCTTTCACCTGAAACATTATTTTTATCTTGCAGAAATTGTAACTAAAGCTTTATTTTGCAATTTAAATATGAAAATAGTGGATTATGGAAGTATAAGTAAAATATGGTTGATATTTATTCAACAAAGTATTTGATTTTGTAAGTCGCCTGGCAATTAATAACAGAATACCGAGTTGTTAATTGCCAGCGCGCGGTCGGATGCAAATATGTGGGTAACCCGTTCGAACCGTACGGTTGGCTGCCCATATCACAAAAAGAAGTGTTTTTCAAAGAAAGCTCATAAATTAAATTTCAAAGATTAATAAATATTTCACTTATCTATATATTCCATATTTATGTTAATAATGTCCAGTACCTATAAGTATCATTTTATGATTTTTAATTAACGGGGAATTATTTACAGTCAAAAACTGTCGAGCCAAAATTTCAATGAAGCCAAAGAGACTCGTATATATACTTCGCATCTTTGTATTTTAGTGGCTAGAATGGCGTCAAAATCAGTTTCAATTGCCATGACATAATGAATGTTGAAAATGTGTCTACAACGAATTAAGTTGAGTAAATTATTTTCGATTTATTAAACAATTAATTAAAAAGTTGACAATGTTACAAACACACGTGTATTTTTTTAAACAGCATAGAGTTGAAAGTATCTAAAACGCATGATTTATCCTGGAGATGATGGGAAAGTTATAAAAGTTATATGATTATCTTCTTTGGTTGATATTTCATTAGCGGATTATATTATATCTATTATGTATTATATTATAATACATACGTGGAAGTGGTAGGGGTGAGTAGAGTAAAACTGGCAGGTCAGGTAAAACAGAACAGTAATGTTTTTCGTTGATAAAGAGCTCGCATCGAGTTTATATTGCATGACATGGTCCTAATAAGTCCTTGATGTAGTTCGAGATTGACTACAGAATAGTGCATAAGTTATTTTTCGATTGAAAGTATTGGAAAGTTATTCGATGAAAAAGTTTTGATGTTATATAGATGTTTAAAGCATTTTTGTTACCTTTCGATTAAAAAATTGAACAAAGTAACTACAGTGCTGGAGTCCACATTCCTTGAGCTGTATTTTTGACACTTAAATTATTTCTTTATTTCGCGCCAAACTGTAAAGTTTAAACGCTTTTCTAAATTATGCGCGGGGCGAAACGGAACACTTTAGCGCAGGAGCATCGGGAATTCCTTGTAATGTGGTTCGTTTATAGTTCTAATTAGTTACGTGTAACCGTATTGTAAAAGTATTGATGTATAGCAACTTTGAATCGAAGATGAGATAAAAACTGATCAATTAGATTGCACCAGTGCAGGAAAAGAAGATGAATTATTTATCTTTTCAGATGTACATGTAATTCTTCTTCTTTATTGTAGGTGCATTTGCCTTGCTTTTGTCAGATATACACTTTAGTGTTTGTTTTTACTGCGCGCACAATGAGAGATTTTTGGAACTAAATTCCACAGTTCACAGATTAACCCAATAATTTGTCGATAGTGTGTGTTATTCTGCCAAACTCAATGGCAGTGACTATGATACGAAACTCACAATGAGTGAAGAATCATGTTTTATGGGATCAATTGCAGCCTATATAGTAGCACACGCGGACTATGCGAAGCAGTACACTTGAAAAGGGGACTTTCCGTGCCATTACTCAAAGATGGCATTGGAGTCCGGTGGCCTAATCTCGGCACATGAGACCTTAATGGGATTTTAAGGCGCCGAGGCCACCTGCGCGCTCGCCCACGGACAACCTCGTTTGTCTTTCCTCTTACCAGTTTGGGCATTCTTATTGCATTCAAGGTCGCGTAGAATGTACCTATTTGACCCTACAACAGAGAATCTCACTCCTGACGTCCGAACTTGGTATCGAGCATCGTTTTGCGACATTGCAACGGAACGCGCGCACGCTCTTTTCGCACTCGTCGATCGTAACGAAATGCTTGGAATTCCTCCCGACATTACGGGTGAAAGTTAATGTGCACAGTTCCAATTTAGAAATGACAAAATTGTTTTCATTCTCTTTTAAGCGGGATACATGCGTACCTCAAAACACTGAGCAATCTAACATACACTTTGATTTAAACATTGCTGAAAACATTTTATTTTAATCTTTGGAATTATTGTGGGAATATAGAGATCTTACAAACTACTTGTTTAACAGTGGTTTATTAACGTTTATTGTGTAGTTTGTTCTGTTGTTTCTACAGAAATTAATGTTTCGTTCGTTTAAATCTTGGAAATTAGGGATTTAAAAATAGACTATTAGAGTACATATTCGCGTAATTGCGTCAGTCAATATCAACATAAACGTTTACCAAGTAACGTTTATAAAATTCAATGTGTGTCAATTTGACACGTTGCGTGAACCTAATGTTAATACTTCAATGGTATATCTGTACTTACATGAAACGTATTGGAATGTTATGTGACAGTAAATATATAATAGGTTTTATCGTATAGTAGTCAGTTGTTGAAATATATTCTAGTAACAAAAAATGCTCTTATTTTCTGTTTGAAAAGTATGTTATGTTTTTGAAAATTTGATACAGATATGTAAGTGAGTTGAATCAATTTTATAGAATTTGTATCACATTTTTATAAAAATTAATTCTATCGAATATTTGTTTCTTATTTAAAGTCTAAACTAATTTCATTTTAAGTTTAACTTGTCAAGTGTGCAATTAAAGCTATCCTAAAGATTAAGATAACTTACTGTTCATAGTTACTAAGAATGGAATAATAAAAACTTTGTTTTATCTGTAACTTTCAGGGTTGGCGTGGGCAGAGCGCATTTCGAGAAACAACCACCAAGCAATTTAAGGAAAAGTAATTTCTTCCATTTTGTGATCGCACTTTATGATCGGCATGGCCAACCTATCGAGATAGAAAGGACATCGTTTATGGGTTTCGTCGAAAAAGATCAGGTAATGTAATCGATACATTTAATAAATACACTATCGTACCAGTTGTACATAGCCATAAATAATTTTCCCTGGAGAAATAATGTATAATTCGTAAACATTATAATAAAAACTTTATTATTGTAAGTTGTATAATAAATATAAATATTTTTAAATCATATTCTTTTACAAGAATGTATTTTAAAACAAAACTTTGAACTATGTAATTTCATCATGAAGATTTGAGTATAAAATGGTATTTAAGAGAATAAGTAGTCAAATTATAGAAAAAAGGACCACAAGTAACTTTTTTGTTGTTATGAAAAAATAGATTGTGGTATCGAAATAATTTAGTGATTCAATGCAAATTTACATAGGAACAATAAGTTTAAAAACTTTAATCTTGTTTTACTGAAAATTGTATAATTCAAACCTAAACTCAGGCGTCATTACACATAATAACATTTTTTTGTTCAGGTACATATTTTTATTACCCCCAGTATTTAAAGACGAAAGGCTTCTTTTTAAATAATTATACAATCCTCCATGAAGGACATACTGACAATTCAAATTATATTTAATAATTTCCTCATAAGAATGAATACATACTACCAGAAATAAGAATGGCATTCTGAAGAAAAGCTAACTTTTATAAGAAAATAAAAGTATATTCTTAGTTAATATAATTATAAATTTTTCACAAATATACATACTTCCATAATACTAAACTTTCAATAAAATCAATAAGTATACTTTCAACTTGGTAAATTATGTCGTTCTTTGAACGCTTGAAAGATCGATTAAAAATCGTGCACATTTATCGATAACGAGTTAAAAATAAGTGATGGCGTCGAGTGACAATTTCGGAATTTCAATGCCCGTAGTAGACCTGGTCTTCCCGGGAGAACAAGTGAAAAAAGAAGAGGTGAACCTTTATGACATCGGGGAATATCGTGCGAGCGTACGCTTATCTCGATAATTGCCATTTCCATCGGGGGTGACGTCAAATATTAAACGCCTCCGCCTATGCGTATACATATCGATAGTCGCCAGAATACACCTCCAGCTTTTCCAGCAATTAGTCCGACAGGCGAAAATCCATTGACCGTGTGAGAAATGGACAAACGGGATCGTAAGGGTATCGATATGGTCACGCCAACCGAGTTGCTTGTATGTAATAAGTGGACTTCCAATTTTCGTTTGCATACCTACTATCTGATTGCCAATCAAATAAGTTTGGTTTCTATTAATCAATTAAACCCGAAAATTTATTTATAGATTATCAGTGCTTATACATTTGCTCGAATGTGTTAACTTCTCTAAGGTTAAATTCTTAATTTTGTTAATATCAAAATGTATTCTAGTTAACAATTAGTCGAGACAGTATAAGTTGCGCCTAGTTCGATTTAAAACATCTATGAAGTAAACATTTCGATTTTTATAATCGTATGATTAGCCTTAACAGAAGTGAACTAAGAAAGAGAAAAAAAATGTAATTTATAGATAATTTGCTTTTGAAATGTTGCAACATTGGAAAGGTATGAACTGAAACAGCTTAATATCATGCAGGAACCTTAATTAGATTTGACGTTGCTTTAATTGAGTCTTTGCACACATTGGCAACTTGATGTGTTTTCATTGCATTGAAAGAAATAAACCTAGGAATCCCCGCAAATTAAGCCATTATAGTACTTTGGAATCTTGATCTGCACATTTTTTACAAATTGCGTTAATTCAAAGGAATCAATTGCAATAGTCTTTCAGTAATGTTTATACGTAACTGATTCTCTGATTAAGCATTTTTCATTATGTCGATGAAGAGACTAATTGCCCTCAATTGGTTCGTAATCTTGACTTACTAAAGATTCGAAGTATATTATGAACAGTAAACGAATAACTAGTGAAAATAGTAATAATAATGTTAAAGCTACTTGTTTCACGTTAAAAACTGTAACTTCTTGCTGTGTAATTACAAGGAATTTTGTTTACAATGAAATGACAATTTGAAATTTTCTATAATTAGCTTGAGAACTATTAGAACCTTCATGTTTGGTAACATTGAGTTATTCATTTTCTACGAAAAAGAAGTCAATTGATGTCGATCAACTTAAAATCGTATTTATCGTATTAATGTCCCTTTGACAAAGATAATTTAGTTTATACCACGTATTTTAAAAGATGTTTATGTTGATGCCATACCTATGTACATGTAGTACTGTAATATCTGCTGTTCGGGAATGCTAACGAATATTTCTAATAAATATTAATTAATAAAGAAATAAACGACACGTTTAATTTGAAAAGAAGAAAAGGACACTCTTTGGAGCAAAAATATGTTATATACTAAATGGTCTTTTCTCGGGCTCATATTACTGAAAAAAGAATTAGGTTGATATGTATTGTTATTCAGACACTCTATTTGATCCACTTAGACCGATGAATTAAACTTTCAAATAATTGCGTGTAAGTTCAAACCACCACCAATGATATTTGGCTTTTACTTGGAGAACTGTCGCGACCCCGTGAGAATATTCTGAAATGGGAAGCGATTGTCAACACAGAAATGGTTAGAGCTCCACTTTCTATTGGTCAATTAGTATAGCTAGTTAAGGAAAAGTTGACTGCCGCACCGTTCAACGTGTTCAATCTTACGCAAGTGAAATCGTTGCGGTGGAGATACTTCAGACAAATGCGTTTGTAATACCTGCGTACAACAACTACGCGGATTTGTACGAATGACCGCGTACTCCTTCCTGCCATCCAGCCTCGTATGGAAGAACCAGTACATGTTTATACACTACCACTAAATATATCGACATACTTAGCAGATTAGTAGGTATTACTACACGAGTGTTTCCAAAATTTCTACAGCAGTGACTGAAAGTAATATTTACTAGTTATATTTACTTTATCTATTTTATTATCGAATAATAATAAATGTATTCTTAATTTATGGATTATCACCGAATTTTGGCTTTAATAGGTTTAATTGGATTAGATTTTTAAATTTCCACTATTTCAGTAACTTCAATATTTTTGCTGTGTTACACATGTATAATACATAAGTACTTTGGAAACTAAATTATGAATAATTTTGAAAAAGCCGTAGTTTTTTAATACTATTATTCACCACGGCAACATTTTATAAATATAACTATGTGCCTCGGAAGAAGTAATTGGTCCTAAAACAATCTCTTTCCGTATTTATAAGAACCCGTGTTTACAATCTCAGTTTTAAAATTAAGCTTCTTTAGTTCAAACGAATCCATCCTCAATTTCCTATAAATTCTAGCTAGAATAAGTTAACCTTACTTGCCATAATATTCTATTTCATGGATACTTTGATGTTTCCGTATTTGTCTCCTTTCCCAATATTTTTCCCAATTGTCTGTTTTCACTCTCCTCAAGTTACGAGAACGGTTTGAAATTATCGAATAAACTGTCATACAGTAAATACATTGAACAAGGATTGTAGACATTCTCAAACTCAAAATTATACATACATTCTCTAACTGAATTCAATAGCCAGTTTCAGTAAAGGAATCATAGCGAATAAATAAACATGAATCCAAGTCATTGAACAAATGACGTTTCTATTCCTCCTTCGCTTCGATTTGCATCGCTTATCCAAATATCTCCATTCCTCCCTCTCCTAAGAGCATGTCTATCTATAATTCACATGACTAGGACAGTTGCATTGCATAGCCTCCCTATTAATTAGGGTCACACACCGCGAACATAGATCAGTCCTAGTGTCGAGTAGCCGTTTGTGTCTGAGCGCACCTACGCCTGTTCTCACCCTGGCTTATCCAACTCCAGATGTAGAAACGTTAATATATACATATATTTTACATATTCTAGTCGCTTAATTATTTAAAGGTCATGGAATGATCAATTGCACGGATATCATTGGCCAAGCAACGAGACATAAAAACCGGTGTATAAAGCGAGTCATAGTTGTGGCAAGCGTACGATTCCCGGAAACTGGTACGCTACGTAAATACAGGGTCTCCACGTTCGTTCTCCATTCTATCCGCTTTTTATCCATATTTAATTAAAAAGTAGTCGTGGATCGACCGATCCGCGTATACACCTGATTAACGTCCGTCGTGCGCCTGCAAATTTAGAGATTAATGGTCGCAACGAATGCTTGCGACAGGAAAGAGCTTAATACGTATACGCGACTGAAGAAAAAGCGAAGAATGATGTCGATCTGTCGGCGAACGAACGATGATTATCCAGTGCACCGCGATTAGAGAAAAATGGTCTGCGCCTTCCGTTACTTTAAAGAAACCGAATGACAAGTTTACGTACTCGGACTAGTTTGTTTTCCCTTGAATACTATATCTCAAACTATAGTCGTATATTCTTACTTAGACACTAAACTTCGTTGAGTTAATTTGTGGGGCAATACTTTCTTTTAACGAGGAAACATACCGAAACGATATCCGCTAATATTTATGAAGGTTGGGTTGAAAGTGATTCTTGTACAAATATTTAACATATATTTACATATTAAACATAATTCATATTCGAGAGGCGAAAATATATCTTCTCTTTCGAGATGAGAAATATATTTGTCTGAATATCCTGGAAATCACTTTGGAAATCAATCATCTTTTGAAATATTCTGTATGATAATTACTTAGAATATTTTGAGAGTTCGCTAAGGTTTTTTATCCCTGACTTTACAAACTATTTTGTGTTAAAAATGTGGAAACTTATTCCACACATCGAAATTCTTCTGTTTTTCGTAGACATTGGTGAAAAAATATTAAGTTTATTTATTTATTTATTTATTTTAAATGTAGGTATATATTCTTTGAATAAAATTTATTTAACTTCTTAACTAGTTGTGGAGTGTAGAATTTTTATCATACTGAGATAATCCTATTTCCAACCATTGCAACAGGTATATATAGAATATATATTTACGAGAGCAATCTGATCACATTAGTAGCTTCGGAGAAAGATATTGAATAAGGTTGAGGAAAGAATTATAGAATGTAGAAAGCTAATAACTATTCATTCTAGTAATCGCTTTTAATAAAGTAACTGTCATTTTTTATTAACCGATAATACATTGATTGTCACGTCAATCATATACAGTCTGAGTAACACACTTATTCATATTATATATTTTTTATGGTGAATAAATATATCAAATTTCGTTAAAATTATTAAGATACAAGAAAGTTGAAAGTATAATCACTGCGATGTATCTCAGTGTTTTATTTTCATCTTATTAAACGAAGCATAATTCAATGGTGAAACTGTTAGAGATTGCTTTTACATTTAAGAATTAGTTTAGGATTAGATTAACTGTTTAGAGTCCTTTCTGTTTTGAGTTAAATTGAATCTTCTCCACGCAAAACAAATTGTTATTATTAAATATTATTTAAATTAAATACTACAAAAACGTGAGAATAATTTCGGTTCATAAAATGACTATTATTTTTCAGAAACATTTTTCTGCGACCTAAAATAATGGGCGGAGAAGAATTGAGCGCTTACAGCAATTTCGATACGCCATTACCCACATCGCGAAACAACATTGTCGTAAATCACAATGCACGTAAAACACTCTTAACTCTCTACAGTCCAATACTTTACACATGTAAAAAGTATGTGTAATTTGAAACTGAAAACATATCTTTCATATATGAACTAACAATTAGCTTATAATTTTTTAACATTTTCAACTTTAGAATTTCAACACTTTATGACATATATAAATTTAAGTATAATCTATTTTCACACGTTTTAACTACGACAAATTTCATTTCACCATCAACAGTTGTCAATTAAAATAAAACAGAGATGTACGGTGCAAGTATAATATTCTACTTTAAAAGAAACACCTTTACGCTTCAACATTTCACGACATCCCCTTTTATCGAAGAAGATCACCCAGTAACCTATCTATGTAATCTAACCCTTTCGTCCGTGAATATGTATTTTCTCCCCTAAATCAAAGAGAAGGCCAATGACAACTGCTTTCAAGTGAAATTGAAGCTTTTCAATGAAAGAAATAAGATAAGCACTAATAATAATAATAATTAGCGCTTAAACTGTCAGCCATAAGCAAAGATTGTAGTACAATTTTCCTTCATTTAGGCGTGTTCTAGCTTCCCGGAAATTTAAAACGTTCGTGGTACCTACCAAAAAAAAATTTTACAATTAATACAGAGATCCAAAGTAGATCACGCGATGCTTATTGTTCAAACGATATGCAGCCGACGTATTAGTTCGTCGAGTTACACTAATTTCAAACAAAATCGATGCGACCGGTACCGTTGTCCTCGAGTCAAAAGATCGTAGGAAAGGCTGCAAGTTGAGTTTCACGAAGCGGGGGTTCAGTCATAGGTGTTTCAGAGATAGGTAGTTGAAAATGCATTACCGTGGTCGCGGCATATGGCGCGATGCACGCATGACTCGTCGACAGGGCAGGATGATAATTATGCATCGCACGCCATACGTAATGGCACGGCTCTTACCGGCTCATCAAGAAATTAATAATTAGCGTGAGGTGGAACAGGCTGAGCGCGAGAGTTACGTCACGCTGCACTTAATTAAAATAGAACGGGACGCGAAGAACGGGGTGAGCCTTCGTTCCTTCGCGTTTTGTTCATTTGAACCGATTTAAGCGGGCACGAAATTTAGCGAGATTAATAAGATTTAACGTTCAGGTTCGTTTACATCAACCTAATGAAATAATGCGTCGTTCGGAGTTTCGCGAGCGAGAAAGGTGTTGTCGCACTTCAACGCAGCTGGTTTCGGATTTAAGATTTCTGTTTAATCCCCTGTCCTATGATGCTGCGTCAGTCTCGTGATGAAAATTTTAAATTGAATTTGTCAGATCTAAATGTTATTCGCTTGTTCTGAACATAAATTAGATGATACTTTTCTATTATCAGTTTCTAACTTTTGGAGTAAACGTAAGTGGACATAGAATAAGTGTCAAACTTTTTTGTTTCTCTAATAAATGATTGAGGATGCAGTAGTTCTATCCAGTACAGCTGTGGAAGAGGCCGTAGAACAAAGGGTTAATATGAATGCTTGATGTATTGTTAATATGTTTAGGGAAAAATATTTATGTCGCGTGCATTTAGATAAGTGTACTAGATTATTAATATATATATATATATATATATATATTATATTAATATATATATATCGAATATATATATATATATATATATATATATCGAAATCATTTGTCATAATAAAAATCAATTAATCTCCTATTGTAATTGAACGTAGGTGTCAATATTTACATATTAAAAATTGTACGATACAGATATATTAAAATTCCCAAACACAGATATTGAAATAATTATCTGCACACAAAGAACCTAAATTTCTAATTCTTCAGTACACCTATGTTGTACGTTCTCATTGGAGGTAATTTCTAAAAAGTCAGTAATAATTATAGGTTCATTTAGTACAAGATTTAATCTAACACAAAGCGTACATTTCTGTGAATTCATTACATTAGATGCAAAATGCAATGTGATTATATTACTTTCCATAAGAATGACAATACTACGAAAACATCAAATCATAAATGTACCTTATTCTCGCTATTCGCATTCGTAGGGAGTAGAATCGATATGAAATGTTCATTAACCCTTAATTGATCGCGTGCCGTCTGAGAGACAGCTTCATTTGTAAATTTTCTACTAATTCTTGTAGTACGTCTATAGATATTTGGGTTTTTTAATATATTAATACAAAAGACTATTGCTAACTATAGATATTTGGGGTTTTTAATATATTAATACAGAAGAGTAAATGTTTAAATCTAATTTGTATCAAGTTCTAAAAAATTTTACTAAAATTTATTATTCACAGGTTTTAGAAATATTAGCTGAAACTTACATATACAACTAAGGGTTCCATTAAGGTGCTACAATCGATTCCAGAGAGATCTTTTTTTGATCACTTATAGCTGTACATCTTCTACATGCAACACGAGAAAATATTCTATTCAATTTGCTTAATCTCAGTGTTGCCAATATATTTAAGCTATACAATTTTTAAACAATTACATTACATGTAATTGAATTTAAATTGTGGTCCTTTCTTACCGTAATGACGGTAATTCTATTTAACTCGCGTAACCTGAAGTATATATTTAGCTTCGTGTTATTTAATAATGAAATAACGGTTCGAGTTAATTATAGGAATGTTTAATATTATATCTCTGATTTTAGGAGTCCGAAGGCCAGAAAACGAATAATGGAATCCAATACAGCTTACATCTGCTCTATTCTAATGGTGAGTAATATAATAAACTAACGATATTAATTCTGACTCATCCGTTGCATCAGTTTATGAATATTAAATTACAGTTATTACGACGTATAAATGTATACCTGAAAGCTTGTATAATTGAAATTATATAAATCGATTGCGATGAAATTATAATAAAACACAGAGTATTAGCAATATAAAAAATGAAAAGAATTGTCTAGTATTAAGATTCACGGGATAATCAAAATTTCGATATCTCCTACGATAAAACAGAATTTTAAAATTTATAACAATTAATACAAAGTGAATGATAAAAAATAATATAACAAAATCTATGTATCAAATGTGGATACAGTTTTCATTATATCGTGTCTTCACTATTTGTCTAAAATGTCTTCCATGAGATTATGGAACATACATCATGCTCATCGATTTAAAAGATTCTTCATTTAAATAATCCACGTACTTTTCATTGCGATGATCTATTTTAAAAAGTGCAAAAAATAGCAATACTTCGAAAATAATGCAAGAAAAGTATTTCAGTATTTTCCCAAAATAATCTGTCTCTTTTAGACAGCTATATAAACTTCAGTTCGCACGAAAACTCAATCTTCGTATATCGTAACAGTACGTAAATAACACGTTTGAAAGGAGTCCCGCTTTGACATGTAAACGCGAAAAGCGTTTGAAGTGTTTGTGTAATAGCCTCATCCGGAGCGACGATGACGGTCCATCAACATTCCGCACAGACACCCAGTCTCGCAGAACTGCTAAAAAGCTGAGGAACTTTCGAGGCCCGATCGCAACAGAGACATATTTTATGTCACTGGACCGGGGACTGACAAAAAGAACTTAGCTTCCGTCGTGAAGAAGCGGCCGAACGCCAGTGCGTGAACGAAGCAGGGAAACGACAAGCGCGGAGAGAGGGCCCCGAAGAAGTCGATGATCTAAAGGTGGTCCAGCCAACAGACCCCCCAAAAACGTGCTCGCATTATGATCATATTAAAAAGCCGCAAGGCGCTATCTGCCGAGTCTCATTCCAGAGGTTTTTCATTCCGCGCATGTCAGGGACAAGATCGGCCGTTCGTGGTGTTTTCTTCAGCTGGATTTTTTGTCGGTTCTCGTGCCTCTTTCTCCCGCGACTATCTTCCCCTCATTTCTTCTTTTCCGTTCTCTTTCCCTCCCCTTTCCCGGCCCGTCCCCCCTTTCTCTTTTCTGCGGTCTATACCAGAGACCTTCTTGCTGCTGCTGTTTCGAGACGATCAATCAATGCGAGATTTTTGCGTTGGTAGGACTGACTGAAGGGCCGCCCCTGCCATCTATGGATACTAAAACGTGTTGCCAACATCGCAAACAAGAAATAACTAACTGTTGCAAACTACGGAATACCTACGGGGTACCTTCGGGATCGTAAATCCCTCGTTCTCGGTCCTACTTTCGTCGTACCCGCGGAAACTCCGCGCCGTCGAAGCCGCTCGGAAGCCCGTCCATGTCCAGTCTTCCCTTCTGCTTGCTGTCACGTAATTTCGTCCGTGTTTTCGCCGGCATCCCGGATACCTATTCTTCCCGACAGATTTGTATATTACAGTTCGATTCGACGTGAAGGATTTCTTCGCCGACTTACAGAATGGTTAGGACATTTTTCCGGACCGGTACATGTATTAGGAGCTATGATTCATGTGACAGAACAGAAATGTTTTTCAAATTCCGAATCCCGACTTCTTTAAAATAATTGCGTACTATGGTACTTATTCGAGATTATTTTGAATTCTTAGTTGAACCAGTTTTACTATTTGCGGCCCGTGAAAAAGAATAGAGTAGAAATAATGTGGTTCGCTGTTTTTTTTTTATCTTTTAT